CGGCTTGTGGAGTTTATGGAATCCATGGCTTGTCCTGTCTATGGAATCCATAGCTTGTCCAGTCATGAAACCTCATGGCTTGCCCAGTCATGAGGCCCGCGGCTTGAGTAGTTCGTGTGGTCATAATAATGATTTCAGAAAGTTAATGAATGATTTATTAAGCAAAGAGATCTTGTGAACTGGTAAGAGAGTCTATTGCTATAAGCTTAGATAGGATGCGAATAGTGCGTCCTCGGGGGCAGAACCCGAAACTCGGTCCGGGTAGGCGAGGCACTTGGTTAGGTGAGTAATTTGTACTAATTACTTGCTAAAGCCTGTAAAACGGTTATTTTCAATTATATTTCCTTTGAAAGAAAAGATATAGCGGAAGAATATAGCAGAGATTCGCAGTTTTCTCGGACTTACAGGGTACTATCGGCGTTTCGTGAGAGACTTCTCGAGTATTACTACACCGCTGACTCGATTGATCAAGAAAGAAGTCAGATTCCAGTGGGACGCTGAATGTGAAAATACTTTTCAGGAAGTGAAGGTCAGACTGACAAGTGCACCAGTCTTGACTATTCCTGATAGTGAGGAACCATATGAGGTGTATTCTGATGCCTCAGAGAGTGAGCTTGGTTGTGTGTTGATGCAAGGTGGACGCGTGGTAGCGTACGCATCTCGTCAATTAAGACCACATGAACGAAATTACCCAACTCATGATTTGGAGCTGGCAGCAGTAATATTTGCTCTGAAAATATGGAGATGTTATCTCTATGGAGCAAAGTTTCAGGTCTTTTCTGACCATAAAAGTCTGAAATACTTGTTTACTCAGAAAGACTTAAATCTCAGGCAAAGGAGATGGGTGGAGTATATGAAAGATTGCGATTTTACTCGACAATATCATCCTGAAAAAGCTAATGTGGTGACTGATGCCCTTAGTAAGAAGACGGGAACTCTGTCGTCATTAGCTTTGGAAGATTGAAAAATGACTGAAATGGTGAGTAAGTATGATCTTCAATTCTACGAAGATCATAACCAGGCTATAATATATAATCTGATCTCTACACCGGATATTGTATAACAGGTTAAGTAGAATCAATGGCAGGATCCACACCTCCAAGGAATTTGGATTCGGATCCAGAGTAGAGAGCAATTCGAGGATTGGAGAATCCGAGAGGATGGAGTCTTGTATTTCCAGTACCACCTTGCTGTTCCTAAGGCGGGTGAGGTAAAGAAGACGATTCTGCAATAGGCACACAAATCGAAGTATGCTATTCATCCGGAAAGTACAAAGATGTACCAAGACCTGAATATACAGTATTAGTGGAGAGGCATGAAAAGGAACGTTCGTGAGTATGTCTCGGAATGTGTTACTTGCTTCCGGATTAAAGCTGAGCATCAGAAGCTGGTGGGAGAGTTGCAACCTCTTCCTGTCCCTAGATGAAAATGGGAGCACATCAGCATGGATTTTTTGATGGTGCTACTGAGAACCGAGCTGAAGCACGATGCGATCTGGGTGGTGGTGGACAGGTTGACGAAATCCGCACACTTCATACATTTCCGTGCAACGTATTCTCAAAAGATTCTGTCAGAATTATACCTGGAGCACATCGTGAGGCTACACAGAGTGCTATTGTCTATCACGTCAAATCGTGACACGCGTTTTAATGCAAGGTATTGGAGGAGTTTCCAGGAAGCCATGGGAACAGTCTTGAACTTCAACACAATATTTAATCGTCAAACTGATGGGCAATCTGAAAGGGTAATTCAGATTCTGGAGGATATACTTCGTGCTTGTATTCTAGAATTTAGTGCAAACTGGAAGAAATACTTGTATCTAGCTGAGTTTACTTATAACAACAACTATCAGGCCAGTATTAGAATGGCACCGTTTGAAGCTCTGTATAGTCGTCCTTGTAAGTCACATGTGTTTTGGTTAGAACCAGAGGATCGACTGAGCACTGTACCGGAAGTCATTCAAGAGAATAATGAGAAGATAGCTGTGATTCGGGAACGACTGTTGACAGCTCAAAGTCGTCAGAAAAGTTATGTTGACAGAAGGCGTAAGCCTTTGAAATTCCAAGAAGGCGACTTTGTCTTGCTGAAAGTTTTCACACGCAAGAGAGTTGTTCGGTTTGGTGTGAAAGAAAAACTTGCACCAAGGTATGTGGGACCATTCCTGATCGTGCAACGAATCGGAGTGGTGGCTTATCGGTTGGCCTTACCGCCTGAATTATCTCACGTGCATGACGTGTTTCATGTCTCCATATTTCGAAAATGTCAACCTGAGCTGGAAGCTGTAGTGCAGTGGTTTGACGTTCCAATACAGGATGACGCGTCATACGAGGAGGCACAAGTTCAGATTCTTGATAGAAAAATAAAGAATCTGCGTCATCGTGAGATCCCGTTAGTGAAAGTGTTGTGGCAGCACCATGAAGTCGAGGAAGCGACATGGGAGCTTGAGACGACGATGCAGGAGCAGTATCCGCATCTGTTTACGCTTTGAGGTTAGCCTTAATTTCGGAGACGAAATTACCTAAGGGGGGTGGAGCTATAACACCCTGAAGAATTAATTAGAATTAATTAAGGTAATTGAAATTATTAGTGTGCCTAATCTGGATTATTAATTGAGTTTTGATTTATAAATGTTTCTGACACGCGTGAATTTAAATAGTTTCAAGGTATTTAAATTATTCTCAGTAGTTTATTTTCACCCAGAAGTGTGTATGGGCGCATTTCTGGACTGCTCTTTTAAAATATTGACACTTGTCCATTTTCTTTCTTTTTCTTTTTCTTTTTCTTTTCTTCCTTTTCTTTTCTCTTTCCTTTCCCGTGCATCTCTCTCTCTCTCTCTTTCACTCTCCCGTGCTCTCTCTCTCACTCATTCTCTCATTTTTGTTCCAAATCAAACGATTCTTGAACCAAGGAAAGATTTAAAAAAATTTTCAACGTCAAGAGAATGATTCGAAGTAAGATTACTGAAAGAACCTCTCTTGAATCTCAAATTTTTGTATTTCAAAACTTATTTTTGGTTCATACCGGATTTTGATGGTTTTTAAGTAAAACTATAGTAGAAATTAGAGATCTTTAGTTCCTTGGACTTGTTTTAGGACCTGAAACCCGGATATAGTGATTTTCCTTTGAAATATTTAGATTTGGGACCGAATTTGCAGGTTTTTAGACTGGTTTCCGTGAACTTCTCTCGCGCAGCTGATTCCACCGGTCGACCGGATCACAAAGAAACCGGTCGACCTATGCGGTTGACCGGATTGCAGGCTGACCGATCGACCGGTGTGCACACTACCGGTCGACCGGTAGTGTTGCACTACTCTGTCACCGGTCGACCGGTGCACACGGGTTTGACCCTATTTGGCCTGAAAATGCTGTTTTGACAACTGTTTTTTGAGAGAACCCAAATTAACTTCATTTAGAGACTTGAGATAAATGGATTAGCATCTTTAATCCTTAATTTGAAATTGAAAACCCTTGAAATGATAATTAGAAACATGAAAATGGATTAGGACACACTAATAGGAAATCTTGGTTGGAAATTGAGATTTGAATTGCTTTTGGAATGAGAATTAATCCTAAAATTTTGTCTTGCATCATTGATCGCTGAGGATTCAGACTGAAGGGGCTTGAGTAAGCAGAAGCCAAAAAGGCAACGCTAGTCCCAGGTTTAATAGTGCGAGGTAGGATTTCTATTCATTTTCCTTATGAGCCTGTTTTCATAAAGATTTTGGCCTTGAAAATGTTTTAAAAAAATGGGTTGGTTTGCAAAAGAAAAACTCTTTGAAAACCACAGCTTGTGGAGTTTATGGAATCCATGGCTTGTCATGTTCATAGAATCCATAGCTTGTCCAGTCATGTAACCTCACGGCTTGCCCAGTCATGAGGCCCGCGGCTTGAGTAGTTCTTGGAGTCATAATAACGATTTTAGAAAGTTAATGAATGATTTTTTAAACAAAGAGATCTTGTGAACTGGTAAGAGAGTCTATTGCTGTAAGCCTAGATAAGATGCGGATAGTGCGTCCTCGGGGGAGAACCCGAAACTCGGTCCGGGTAGGCGAGACACTTGGTTATGTGAGTAATTTGTACTAATTACTTGCTGAAGCCTATAAAACGGTTATTTTCAGTTATATTTCCTTTGAGAAAAAGGATGTGAGGTTCCGGCTGTCTATTGGAACTGAATATTTTATTTTATTTACTTATTCATTTATTTATTTCCTCGCTCACTTATTATTCATTTATTTATAACGTTTATTTCAAATTATATCCTACTGGACCTTTCGCTCACGTTTTATGTTTTACATGTATTAAACTCCTGCAGGAGATTCTAAGAGCGGTGCATAGTAGTTAGATATTTACTACAGGGTAGCTAGAGATTGCTACTGTCGGATTAAGGGAGGATTGTGATCATCCTCTTGAACAAATGTAAGGAATTGAGAATCTTGTAAGCTCTTGTAATATTTGGATTAACTATACTGTGGTTGATGTCTGTTGTAATGATTATTTACATGAGCATATATGTACGATACTGTATGTCTTGTGGGGTGGAGCCCTGTGTGTGAGAGGCTCCAAAATTCTGTAATTTATTTATATTTTAATGCAATTGAGTGGGACTCATCTGAAAATCTATTTTATTAACCCCTAATCGAACTCCACGTCACCCACCCCGTTTAGAGGGCATGACACATTTATGGAGATCACTATTGTAGTCTCATCAATATTCATAATAAAAGATCTGAAAGCCTGTACGTACTTTAAGTTATCAAGGAAATACTATAAATTTTTGTATCCGATCTCTTTATTTTTTTTGTCTATTTATTTTTTTCTAGGATCACGCTCTAATCATCCGAATTCATCTATTTATTGACCTCCTAACAAAACAAAATTAATTATAGATTTCACCATCTACAAATGTCAGGGGGAAAAAAGACAAAATAGAGCGAACCCAATGTACCAGAAAAAGAACTCAAAAAATAAAAACTAAATTGAGAAATCCAAGCGAGACTAACCAGAACGATCAATTTATTCTTGTCGGGCTCAGAAGGGGGCTTGACCACCGGGTCAATGTACTCCGGCAGCGGAGCCAACGGGAACTGGTCGAAGGCGGCGGAACGAGGAGAGAATGCAAAGGGCGCGATCCGCATTGCGGTGGGGAAACCATCCTCGAAGGACAGTGCTCCCATGGCCATTCTTCGCATGGCCATTGCTCGTTCTAAGAGCACAATCTCCTGGCGAACCACCGCCTCCAGCTCTCGCCGCCGAGCGATTTCCTCCAAGATCATCTCCTCACTAAGCCGCTGCTTCTCGAGCTCTCGCACGATCAGCTTCCGTACGTCGTTAGGGTTTCGCCTTACGCCCGAATTTGGCCCGATATCGCCCATCAAGAAACCGGATAGACCATGCAGCATCGGATGAATGACTTGGCCTGTTTGGATGCCGAGAAAATAAGGGTTTTTTTCGAGAAAGAAAAATAAATTGGCTAAAACTTTGCTCGAAATTAAAAAATATTCAATTATTTTAAACAACTTTGATCATGCACTGAAATTCAAAACGGCACACAGCATTGTCAAACCACAGCTTATTTTCCACAAAATTTTCCCTCGTTTTCTCGGACTTTCTCGGGGAAAAATAAAAGCAGATGATGAACATTCAGACCCGGCATTCGCAATGGTTGGAATGCGTAGCTGAATTCGCTCGACGACGGCGAAGGAGACGGCGGAGGCCGGTCGTCCACGGCCCGAAACTTGAACTCCATTAAAGTTGCAGAGAGAGAAATGCACTGTAAGGGTTTCTTCTTCTCGTTTTTTTTGTCTGATGATAGGGGAAAATTTGGTGGAGAGAGAGAATTTGATGAGCGCTTGAATTTGTCTCGGAGACTGGGCATTTTGTACCGCACGCGCATATGATGCGCGTGGCACGTAACTTCATGTTATAAAAACGTGCGAATATCAAGGAGATGTCGGGAACATGACGATAAATGTCGATAGAGTGAGTGATAAGTCGGGCTTTCTGATGCGTTTTTTTGACGTGTATGATGAACCTTATAGGTTCAAGGCTCCCTTTATTTAACTAATTTAAGTTTTGAATTTAAATTTTATTATATTAAAAAATTTTTATAAATAATTATATTTA